TCTCAGATTTAGTCACCGGAGAAAATGTGTTTTAGAAGCTGTGCATACAATTAAAAATTTTTGGTGCCCATTATACCTAATGACTACCTTTGAACCCTGGCTAAAAAGGTGCTAATTTTATGGCGACTGTCTGGGAAACATCCCTGAGGATGATCCGAAGACATGCCATCACAATTTTGATCCTCTGAGGCACCCCCGCTTCGGAAGCCCAACAACCTGCAAGCGCAGTCGAGCACTTTACGGTAGACCACTTTAACGAGAGCACATACCGCACACCCTCGGTCCATACGCAGACTAATCCAAGTGGTCACCCATCCGCATGCTGACCGCAGCCAGTGATGCTTGACTTGGGTGATCTGCTGGGAACCGTTTCTTAATGATCAGTCCACTGTGGGGCAGATTACACTGTGCTGCGGGGCATATAAACATATTACACTGTTCTGTATTTAGGGAGAATACAATAAAAACATTAAAAAATATAGGAAACTGCTCTGTGTTTAGAGAGAAGGTATAAACACATTAGGAAATATTAAGCATTTGCCTGCATTTTGAGAGAATACTATAAATATAATAAAAAACCTAAAATTTATGATATGCAATTCCTAGTGTGAGGGTGAAATTTTTTCATAAATAGCTAATAACACACAAAAATAAGTATAAAAAAACTAGAGTAATGGTCATTACTTTTTTCACAGTTTTGTCAGGCTCCAAGGCAATATCTGGGACACTGGCATCCACCATTAGAGAAAATAAATTTAAAATCAAGTTGGCATGTCTAAAATTTAGAGAGTGAAAATCAGAATAAGATATCAATACAAAGTTAAGGTATCTATTTTATATATAACTACATCAGGGTTCATACCTAATTTTTGGAAAAAGAAAAAAGTTACTGACTACCTAGAGTTAATGTTAAGCAAAACATTTTTTCTCCCTAAGTCTCTTTTATCCCATGAATAACTTTTCTTATGTTTATTATACTTAAATCACCTGAATTTCCATCATCTCTCTAAGACAAATGAATCTTAATTATTAAGATATTCACTGGTGATCATATATTAAGGAAAAATCACAAAAATGACCATAACTCCAAAAGTGACACACAGAATTTAGTGTAACTGACACACGTTATAGTGCATATAATAATGTATAAAAACACATAAAAGGTATTAATCAGACAATTATGGTGTTACAAAAAATAGCATATGTATGAAGTGAATAAATCAGATGTTAGTTTGGAATAGAAAAAGTACCTTCAGTACAGAATATAATCATCTCTAACAGAAATACAATCAAGGCTAGATTCACGTTTAAGCTAGATAGACTGTAACTTAGGGCCCTAAGAGCTACAGGGGGTCTTAAATTAAAATATCTTTGTTTCGCATTATTAGTTATTTAAAATTATCAAGAACCAGGAGCCTCTGAAATCTAAAATACTTTTTTTTAAATTGCTCGACACTGGTCAAAATTTGTAGATCAATAAAAAAAATTCCTCAACAATTTTCTGTAAACTACATCCCTTATTCAGCTTTTTCCGATCACAAATTTCTAGGACCATTCTGATTTGTAAATGGAAGCGTTTACTAAATTGGAGTGGGTTTTAGACTGGTATCACACATAGGGTTGAGTTTTTATCCATAAAAACAATGGGAAAAACTTAATAAACACTATTAAAAAAGTTGCAGTATTGGCAGGTAATTGTTTGCCATTTATAACTAATAGGAATATATATACATTATTTCTTTATTTTAGTTAATAATAGGAATTATTGGATAATTGCGTATACTGTATATACAAATATGTGCAAGTAATTAACCATTGAACAAGTGATATGATATAATATAAACTATCTCATAAATTATTTTCAAAATAAGGTGAGCTAAGTTTTTTTTACTATTAACATCTTAAGAAGCTAAGAGCTGAAGTGATAAATGAATTAGATTTTCAATGTAAGCAAAATAACCAGTAATTTAATATTAAAACCATTTATACTATAATCTGTACATTTTTTTACACTATAATCTGTATTATATCATTACATAACTTTATTGCAACAGCATATCTTAAAAAAAAAAGCTCAAAATAGCCGGAAGGCTCAAATAAGCAAACTTTTAGTTTTTTATAAAAAAAATTTCTTTACCTTTAAAAAAAGAGCAATTGGAACATTAAAAAATCTACAGTAGCAATAAGGGTACTGTAAAATACCAATCAATTTTGTTCTGTCATTTGTTTAAAGAAACAAAATTAGAAGAAAAAAATATTTTACTTATTACACATTGTATGTATTAATGTGAAACAAAAATTTCCAAAATAATTACTTCTTCAAATGAAATAAAATTAGGAAAAACATCAAAATCTGGGGAATAATAAAAATGATTATAATTGAGTATGACTTTAGAAATTAAGAAGCAATGTAACAAAAAAAGTTTTTGTTATTATCAAGTTATAAACTAATATGAAAAAATTTAAAGACAACTTTAATATGACTAATTTTATAAAAAATATTAACCTTTATGTTCAACAATGTGAAAAAAGTTTCGCTTTTTTTTTGTTGATCAATGAAACAATTCTTTAAATATATATGATAAAATTGAGACATTATTCAAACATAACGAGACCTTATGCAGGGATTAATTAATTTCCTTGAAAAATTCAAAAGCAAATTATATTTAAGAGAATGAGCATATTAGCCCCATGACCAAAATATTTTAAGAAAACAAAGGAATTAATTGTGTATTGTAAGTTTCTAAAATATGAATAAATGAAAATGATTTTAAATTATAAAATTAATGCTGGATAGAAGAAAAAACAAATCAGTTTTTACCTACGCAAATGGAGGAAGGATGTATAGCACTGTTTACGAAATTCCTGATAATGATCAGAGTGTATACCTCCCATGGCTTCAACCATTTCTTTGCTAAGTTTCATAGGTGGAGGCAAAGGTTTTGGATCTCTTCCCAATATGTAACCAAAATCAATATGGAACAGTTTACCTGTCCGAAAACAACAATTATATATCAAGCAGAACAATAAATATTGAAGTTAACACTTTCCTAACAAAGTTCTTTTAGAAAATTTGTAAAATTACCTTTTTTCTTATTTATCTATTCCCTGAGAGACTGACAAATTTGGTTTCTAGGAAAACTAGAATGGGAAACCCAGGGATGGGCAAACTTTTTTGGTTGAGGGCAAAAAATCGGAAAAAAAATGTTTGGTGGGCTAAGTAAAAACATCTAAAATAAAAAAATTCTATATAAAATTTTTAATATAAATATTTAATGAGATGAATGAAATTGGCGATTTAATTTTTAAAAGTTTCTTATATTGAGGTTCCAAGTGAGATGTACTTATTTTAAGGAACAAGGGTAAATGTTTGTTATTCTACTTCTGAAATGATTTTTTGTAAGGTTCATAGATGAAAACACTTGTCCGTGCAAATAAAATGAAGCAAACATAGCACTGATTTTCTAGGCATGAAATATTTGGGAAACTAGCTTTTGGTAATGATTTGTAAAACTCAATTTTTGTCATATTCAGAAACAACTGCTTCAGAAGAGACCAAACTACGACTATTCTATAAAGAACTTCTGCTTTCAACATTTTACCAATTAAAGCTGTCTGTGCTAGCTATTTCCATCAATTTATGTTTTGTAGAGCAAAATTAGAGAAAGTTAAAAGGTCAGCAGTACTTAGTTAAAAAAGAAAAATTACTTTAAACAAAGTAGACAAGAAAATATGTTTATATTCGCCACGGATCAGCAAGTTAAAATTCTATCTGTGGGCCGGATAAAACCTACCGGCGGGCCAAGAGGGCCGTAGTTTGCCCATCCCTGCTCTAACCTAAACTGATTTTAGGGATAATAGTTAGTATGTTAAATGAGTAAATTATTATAATTAAGCTAATAAATAATGTAAATAAGTAAAACATATAAATAAACATAATTGAAATACAATACATTTTTGAAAATGGAACAGGTTGGTTTTCAGTAACAAAATATTTGGATATTCACGAGTGACTTCAATACCAAAACACAACTTGTTTGAGAAAATTATGAAACTAAACCCCCTCAGTTACTTATTAAGCTTATTTCTAATGAAATGCAAAAAAAAATTATTAAGTAAAATAATAATAATATTTATATGATACTAAAGAGTATTATTTAACTTCAACAAGTTGGATATTCACGAGTGACTTCAATACCAAAACACAACTTGTTTGAGAAAATTATGAAACTAAACCCCCTCAGTTACTTATTAAGCTTATTTCTAATGAAATCAAAAAAAAATTATTAAGTAAAATAATAATAATATTTATATGATACTAAAGAGTATTATTTAACTTCAACAAGTTGGATATTCACGAGTGACTTCAATACCAAAACACAACTTGTTTGAGAAAATTATGAAACTAAACCCCCTCAGTTACTTATTAAGCTTATTTCTAATGAAATGCAAAAAAAATTATTAAGTAAAATAATAATAATATTTATATGATACTAAAGAGTATTATTTAACTTCAACAAGTTGGCGGGTGGATTGAAAGTTTACTTTTTATAGGTGTGGAAACTGAAAAAGCGTGACATCTGAGCTTATTTCTTTTGGCAAAAATTTCAAACTGACATTTCATTCAGATTCTTTCACTATGACAGAAGCTTCTTTAAGTTGGTTTTTTTATTCACTTCATTTCTAGAATATGTCAAATGAGTTGTCTACATAAACTACTCCCTGATTCTTTGTTTCTCCCTTGCTGCAACTTTCTTTGTCCCCCTTCCCTAAACTGCTTGAATAAACTCAATGACTTAACTTTAGGTTCACTTTGCACTCGTCAATTTGTCTTGAGTGAATAATAAAATCTTTTTATGCCACCTGAGAAATTAACACTACATTCATTTGAGAAAACAATACCAAAAAATATTCTTTTTGAGACAAAACTATGTAAAATTCTTTAAATAAAATTCTTATTTGAATAGTATTTGTACTTAGGGAGAAAATTAGAATAAGTTTGTTATTCGATCTTATTTTTAAAAGTTTCGTACACCTCCAGCTTATTTCTGCTCGAAAGCAACAAAAATTATGCTCTGTATCTCAAAATGAAGAAACATGGAGTTGTTGTGTTATTTGACCTAGTTTTTTTGAATAAAACTTTAATATGAGGAATAGGAGTTTCCATCTCTAATTCAAATACAAAACAAAATAATGAATTTTGACATTCACTAAACTAAACTAAACTCAGAGGCACGACAGCCCTAGAGGGCCAAGGCCTACTTCGACCATCTCAGTTTTCTTGACCTTGGGCTCTGGGGTGCAGAAGCAGATGTTCCGGTCAGGTGGTCAGCCGAAAGCGGAACCTCCAGTGTTTAGTTCCCAAGCATGCTTGGTACTCGTTTATCGTCCCACTGAAGGGATAAAAGGCTGAGTCAACCTTGCTCGGTTCGAACCAGGAACCTGTGGCACGACAGCGCGAAGCGCTACTGCTCAGCTACCGGGCATCTTTGACATTCACTAAGCTCTCTAAATTTGAAAACTTTTCCTGTGAGGGATAATTTATTTCACTGATTATGTCAACTTTCATCCATCAAAAGTTACCTCGAGATAGAATCAAGTTATCATGTCTTATATACTAGTGAATTGGTATTTAATATTTATAGTGGTAGTTACAACACACTACTCCCCTTGCAGAATTTTATCTATGATAGAATTCGATGAACGAATAACACTAGTTGATTCATGCAGTTTATTTATTAATATCATATTTGCTCATTTTATTTTTTTCTTAATTTTTATAGCATTTCGCTCATAATTTTTTTTTGTTTGTTTTTATAGCAATTCACTAAGTAAATCAACTGTTTAATGTTGACCATTGTGGGGAATAATAAATCGACTAGGTCAACTTTCACCTATCAAAGGCATCTCAAAAGGTACCTCATGAGAGAATCAAGTCATCATGTCTTAAATACTAGTGAATTGGTATTTAATATATTTAGTGGTAGTTACACTGAATTTCATAAAAACTTTTTAAGGTATAAAACAAAATATAGATTTATAATTACCATTTTTTGTCAAAAGAAGATTGTCCAGATGCCTATCACCAACGCCCAGTAAATATGTTAAAACACAATATCCAGCTATTATGCATATATATAAAAAAAAATATTCAGTCAAAAAGAATAAATATTAAAACTAGTGTATAAAGAGCATGATTTTTAAAATACAATATTATTTCCAGATTGAGGTAAGTATTAAACTAAATCATAAACTAAACATACTAACTTATAGTTATTATAAATTTCAGTTAAGAAAGTTGATTCAATGCATTAATGTTTTTTTTCCTTAAAAAAAAACATGACATTGATTTTTTTAACAATTTACTAAAAGAGGTGCCACAGAATTTAAGAGAGTGCATAAAAAGAAAAACAGTAATCGCAAAACAAGTTGCACACAATTGAATAATTTCACCTGATTGGATTTCTTTATTTTAACATGCAATCATAATATTTTGAGGGGTAGATTTCAAATATGCTAATTAATTAGTGCAGATAATATCTAAAGTTATGTTATCAAACAGAAAAGCATATTTATCTGTGTAAACATGTCAATTCTTAATAATTGAAATTCCTGACCATAAAAAAATGGTGAGTAGCCGTAAATATGGGCCCAATAGTTTAGCCAGGAAAGCAGTCAAAAGTTTGGTCTGCTTAATGATAATTTTACTCTTTGTTTATTTTACCATATCTATGGAGCTGTTTAGGTCAACCAAACATTTTTTTTTTGTTTGCACATGACTTGTTTACCTAAGAAAAATTTCATAAATTTATCTTTGATTAAAAAAGTTTTAGAAACTGTGTGCAAAAATATTTTGATTTGTTGAAATAGTTTCAGAGATATAGTGAATTACCTAAAAAGTGAAATTAAGATTAAAACATAAAAACTTTTTATTGCTCTCCTGAGTAAACTATTAAGACCATATTTACCTTTTTGCAACTGTCCTTTTATTTTGAATGTCTAGAAACTGAATCTGTTGCAAAAAAAAAAAAAANAAAAAAAAAAAAAAAAAAAAAAAAAAAAAAAAAAAAAAAAAAAAAAAAAAAAAGCAATGGTGATTAGAGAAAGTAAATTTCTGCGTCTGATTTTCTAACTTAAAATGTCCTTTGCACTAACTAATAACAAATTCAAGGGGTAACGCCATAATTAGTTTAAAATAATTAAGGAGTATTGTGCAGCTCATTGACTTATTACTGAAAAGGTCTGTATATACATACATATATATATATTTTAAATTATGGGGTTTTGATTTTTTATTGTACCTACATCTTAGCTTTTACACACTATTAGAATTAAAATAACAAAAAACAAAATAATAAAAATAAAATAAAATATGAATATCTTACCGCATGATTTAACATAATTATCCATGACCTCATGCAAAATTCCGTAAGGTCCATTTTCTGAAGGAGCATAGGTTCTGAGATAACTCTGTAAATCTTTATGCTCATCCAATATTGAATTAACAGATACAGACTCAATGTACTGTACAAATCCTATTGAAATCAAAAAGGTTTAAGCACTATAAACTGTAAATTCTACATACATTATATTATTTAAAAAGATAATTTAGTCAAAACAGTTTAACACTTTTTATTAATGTTGCTATATTTTTTAAAAAAAATGGGAACTATTTCTGTTATCCTTGGAAGTCAAAACTGTCTATATAACACTATGGAGTATGAGTTTCGCCACATATTTTAGCACATGTTAGCAATTTGAGTTGTTCATACATTTAGATAAAGTTATCATACAAGGTTAAAGCTATCACACACTTCCTCCGAGGGTGTTCTCCAATAACTCACCAAAATTTTATTTTAAAGTGATATGCTGTGGTGTGTCACAACAAATTGATCATACGGAGAAATATTGGCCCTAATATAAGCATGGCTTTAAGCTAGAAGATAGAAAGTTATAGCCAAGATGGTGGTGAAATAGATAACCATTGGTTATATTACAGAAAGATTTAATGTATGAAGCTGTGTGTTCAAATGTGAATTTGTGTTTTTCTTGATTGGATGTTTGGTTATTCTGCAGTCACTAGGATTCTTCTGCTGAAGGTAGTCCGCCTAATTGTACGCTTTGAAATGGCTAAAATAAATAATTACAACTTAAAGCTTATAATTTGGATAACTTCAGACTTTATATACATAACTTAGTATACAATATCAATACATATATTAATACAAGATATTGGGACACTTTAATGTAACACAAGATATCATTAACTAACCCAGAAAAAAATTAACTAATAATACGAAAATAAGTCTGAAAACATATGTGTTTCGATAGAATTTTGGAAAATTAATGAAGAGATTACTATATTATAATATTTCTGCAGAATTTATGTACACCAACATATTTTAAGTTTAAAAAGTATATGTATTTAAATAAACATAAATCTGAAGTATAATCAGAATGTTATTTTACATATAGCAAATGAAAAATTATAGCTTAAAAAAAAAAGGAAAAATCAGGTACTTCAAATCATGGAAACAAAGTAAAAATAAATGATTTTTCCAAGAAAAATTTACTTAAAGAGACAAAAATTTATTTAAAAGTGCCTGAGTGAAAGACAGATATTCACCTAGTGATAAAATAAAATCACCCATATACAGATTATTTTTGAACCTTTTTACATTAGACATTATGCAGGATGTACAATAAAAAGTAACAGTCACTAATTGATATATTAACTAAAAAAAATCAACATAAATTTTAAAAAATAAAGGATTTTTTATTAAAATTTTATATTATAATAAAATAAACTTACCATGTTTACTACTACATGCAAGGACACTATATGGGGTCAACTTAAGGTCTAAATTTTCTTTCATTAACAGCTGAAAGAAAAAAGTTTAATATCAATCTAAGCATAAAAACATGATATTACAGCAAATTAATCATTGAGGTTTGAGAAAACTGTTTTTAAAAATTTTGTAATAAAAGTTGAAAAATATTTTTGTTTGGAAAAAAATCACAGAGTAAATAATTTTTCCGCATCTGAAGAAAAACAACAGATAACTTAACAAAAAAGTTTGGTAAGAAAAGTTTTGGATGTTTAAGGATACAAAAGAAATTTTAAAGAACACATTCTTTTTTTTATAATTTCTTTTTAGCTTTTCCCCTTTTTATAACTGGATATGTTTTGATACTTCACACCTTAAACAGACTACAGTGAGAAAAATTAATTTAGTAAATAGAAATAATTAAAAATTACTAGTGGGATGGCATAAAGTAAATTCCTAGAACAAAGTTTTTATTTGTACAGATTTGGTACGTTTGGATACACAATATCATGATTAGTTTAGATGAAATGAACAGTAATATTTGAAAAAGAAAGACACATAGAACAAAAGCGAATTTGTAAAATACAGTTTTATTATTTTTATTGACAAAGTTGGGATATTTAATTCTTTATAAGATCAAGGCATGAAGCACCAACTTGCTTCACACATGCCAGAGTGAAGTTATAGCCCATCAAGATTTATAGAAAAATTCAAAGTAGAAAAAAAATAATAATGTCCCTTTTAACACTAAGTCAAATTGCGTAAAAATATAAAAATAGTGTTTCGAATTCCCTTTTCTTCAGATATTTTTAATACAATGTTATTATGATAAGAGAATTTGAGCAATCACTTTTTTATGCGTTTGATTTGCAACAATTTCATCTTAAATCCCGTTACTTTTTTTTTCTTTTTCGCTGCTATCAATTTTCCTGGAAGCTAGTTATACAAACTATCTAACATTTTGATGTTTTTAATATGATGTTATGACTCAACAATTTCGAATGCGAGTAATCAATTTTTTATGTGCTTGATCCATAACGATTCCATCCTATATTTTCAATCATTTTTCGACAGCTATCTATTGATTTTCCAAATTCCGATGTTTCAAATACAACGCCATTACTATGTTATGTTATATTACTATGATGTTTTAAATACAATGTTATTACAAGACTTGAAATTAAATGTAATATTTTTTAATGCACTCTGTTCGCAATTATTCCAACAAAAATACACATAATTTTTTCTGCTATTTCCACATAGTTTAAAATTATTTAAAGTCCGAGGTTATTATAACATGCAAATTATGCATTGGAATGATTTTTTTTAACACGCTCGATTCGCAACAATTCCATCGTACATTCCACAAAACCTTACGATATGATGTTGTTATTATGACGATATGATGTATGATATCAATTTGATATGATGTTATAGGACACATAAATTTCGGATTCAAGATATCACCTTTAACTACTCAGTTTGCAACGATTCCATCATAAATCCCCATCATTTTTCGGTTATTATTTATCTTTCTTTTGGCCATTTTCACTGAGCTTTTCAAATTTAAATATCATAAATACCATATAATAACGACATGCAAATTACTTTTGGAAGCGCTTAAAAAGAAACAATTTCGTGACTTTGTTAAAAAAAATCGGGGTTTTCCTGATCAATAGACACCCGGAGCTAAGACTAATTAAGATTAATGCGAACTTTTAAAGTATTTACATCATTGCATTAATCTTAAAACTTGTGGAAAACTATCATTCATCAATTATAATTTACAGTTACAGAACAATTTACAGTTTGTAACCCAATTGTTAAATACAATCAAATCCTGATATCCATTCACACTCAAGGAAATTAAATTCCTACTATTAGCACACACTCTCCCTATATGTTGTTCAAATTTTCAATTGTTAATAAAATGCTTTTTATTCATCCACTCAAGTTCAAATACATTTTTTTTGAACTGTGGATGAACAAAACTCTGAAATATTGTTGAATGTAAGCCATAAAGCAAATTTGTAACAATAGTATTGAGAGAGATATCATTAAAATTATAGCTTAAAAAAAAAAACATGTAACGATAACAAAAATTATTTTTATAAGAGTCAATTTTCGAAAAATATATATTTATATATATTGTTTACCCCAAATTTACATTATCCCCCTTTCTAATTTTCAAAGAGAGTCCGATGGAAAAAGTGAAATTGGGGTTCAACTGTATATATGCATATATATAAAAGAGAACCAATTCTAAGTCTTTTTTTTCCAGATAATTTGCTTTGTGCACACATAGTCCAAATATAAGGCACTAAGGTTTATTTATTTATAGAGCGTGTTGTCTGACCAATACAAATTCTAAATGGGAAAAAACTTTTTCCTCTTGGCATGTTTGGCAATGATTCCGCATGCTGCTTCAAAATTGTTAAAGCCAATAGAGAGAAACAATACAAAACATATATAAATGCAAAAAAGAAAAAATAGAGAATTATGTAAAATAAAAAAAAAAAAAAAGACAGAAGATATAAGAGTTAAACAAGAGATCTTCAAAACAGGATTTTTTTAAAACACAATATAGATTTTTAATAATCACTAAAGAGGAATATGAAGGTAAAAGTTTCTACTCCAATGAACAAGATTAAAATTCTGGGGGTAATATAGTAATTCGTGATACCTAGATTCAAAATGATGAGGTTTGACAGCATTTATAAATTTTAAATGCAGAAAAATATTAAAATTATTCATCCCACTAAAAAGAAATTAAAAAATAATATATCATTTTTGGTTCAGATACATACTCTGTCCATAAGTGATATGGTTTGTAAAATTAACTGGTCCTGTCGCAGGTCATCCCCCAGTTTAAAAATGGTGACATACTCCTTATCATCATTAGTTAGGAATGTGAGACGTGTAGGCATCAGGGCACTTTTAAAAAGTGTCGTTTTTTCTGGAACAATGCCTTTCACCTTGACTGAAGGATCAAGAGGCAAGGGGAGAGGCTCAAAATTTAAAAAGTCTATATTGTAAATATCCTTATCTAAAAGTAAAGCTTGCAATCTTTCAGTCTGAAAAAAATAATAATATCAGATTAGAATTTAAACAAAACTGGGAAAAAAAATGAAAGAAATTTTTAGAGAGAAAAAAAATGTTTTAAAAAATCATAAATGAACAAAACTAAATATCAAATTAATTTAGCAGAATACCTAAAATTAAGAATATATTTACTTAAAACATGACATTATCATGGAATATTATAGAAGAAACACAGCGTATGATGCCTTTAAATGAATTAGAGATAACATGAATTTATTTTTTAATTCAATATGTTTAAATTTTATATTATTTAACAACATACTAAACTGAGATACAATATACTAAACTTCACAATATACTAACTGGATGGCATGCACTACAAAATATTAAAATTTGTACAGCAATGCATCATAAGAATTATTCCTTTAATTCAATTTATAAAAGATTTGCTAATATTCAACCTTGATTTATAATCTAAACAATGACTATACAAGTGGAGAATGAGTAGTTATCGACCATGTCAACCGTCATCTATGAAAAGGCAACCCATTGTAGAATCGAGTTAACATGTCTTACATACTAGTGAATTGGAATTGCAATTTTGTAGTGGTAGACACACTACAGTACTCCCCCACTAGAATTATAACTGCGATAGAATTTGATGAACGGATGCCACCAGTTGATTTATTGCTGTTTTGTGAGAAGCCGGGAGAGTTGTATTTAAGACCGGGAGAGTTGTACTTTTTAAATGCCAATTGTGAGAGCTGTATTAGGTTCACTGTTGCTCCTGTGTTGTGATTAGCAGTTGAGAGTATATAGGGCAACGTAGTGTGTGATTGAGGCTGAGTAGCAACAGCGTGAGGAGGTGTATAATGTCGCAGTCACAACTAGCAAGCCAACTGTTCAATGCAGACCATTCATTGAAGTAGGGTTGTTCAAATTGTAGTGTCACAGTCACAACTAGCAAGCCAACTGTTCAATGCAGACCATTCATTGAAGTAGGGTTGTTCAAATTGTAGTGGGTGTGTCTGCCAAGGTAGGCGCATTCACATCACACCCGAAAGTCACCAATGTGGGGAACGAGTTATAGACAATGTCAACCTTCATCTATGAAAAGGTACCCCATCATAGAATCAAGTTAACATGTCTTACATATTAGTGAATTGGAATTGCAATTTTGTAGTGGTAGACACACTACACAGTATGCATATAAACAAATTTGTCAAGAATTCTTTTCAAATATCTGTGGATGTCAGCATATTAAACACATTTAAGTATTTATATAACATTAAAAGTCATAATTATAAGTGCCAACATGAAATAAAAAGATCTAGTAAATTTTGAGAAATTACAGTTTTACGTAAACTAGACCACAGTATATAAATCACAAAGACATGTTATACATTGAGATTTTTTATAATAATAAATAGTGGCAATGTTAAAACATATGTTAAAAAACCTAATGCTAACCATATTTATATATATGAAACCATTTTTTTTGATTCAGAGAAATTTTTTAAAATTTTACTCTCTATCTGAGGCTTATATTATTGTTAAGTAGTCTTTCTCAATTAAAATTACAAGCAAGCAATAAGGATAATTAAAATTCTATTTTGATGAGGATATTCATAAGATCTTCTCTAATTTTTTACAATAGACAGAAATCCAGAAAATATCTTTCAAAACAGAACACTAGGAATTTCAATTTTCATAGGTTTATGTTAACTAGGTTTAGTTATAATAAGATAATAAATAAAGCATACTGCTATGTTAAAAAACTGTGCACAATTTTATTTATTACATTTTATGGAGCTAACAAAAGTATACTAAACAAATAGCAATTTAAAAAATATATTAGTGTATTAATAGTGTCCTGTTAAATGTAGAGAAAATTGCAAAATCTTATAATTTGAAGAACAAAAAAGTGAAGCAATCCACATGGATAATTAAAATGAAAGAATATTATAACTGTTTATTACTTTTTTTCGACGTCCGCCACTTTCTCGGGCAACTGTTTTCAATAGACTAAGTAGTTTTTCAACAAAATCTCTCCCCCGAAAAAGAAGATCTCTTCGCTTTTTATACTCTATACTACCCTAAAATAGGAATATACAAAATGTACAGATAGAAACATAAAGATTAACAAAATACAGTCTATGCTTTTTAGTACAACCACCATTACTGTGACCCTTCTATTATAACAACCGATACATGAAATCTTTTTTGTTCTTTCATAGATACCATATTATTTTAACACCCATTAGAACATCCGAACCAAACAGTTAATCTAAATTAAGTTGCCAAAATTTTGTGTAATTTAATTTCGATTCCTAGAAAATTAGGTTATCAAAACATAAGTGTTACACATTTTTGCATTTTGAAAACTAACACTATTCCGTTAACAATGAGTCAATGAGTAACAAAAGTTTGGAAGAAATTATTCTAACCATTATTTCTTTTAGCATTCCTATTCAATGAATGTGAAACATCTATGAATGAAGAACAAGTGACATGACCACCTATTCTTACTTAGGGGCTCCTGGGTGCATTTGATAGTCAAAAAGATTGTAAGATTTCATTTAATTTATATTACTGAGAATTGGAAGTATATATTGCATTCTTTTAGTGGAATCACTTTGTACTTTCCTGCATTCATAACTCTGGTGAATTTATTTTTAAAGGCTTCAATAAATTTATTAATCAAATTTTTCTTGTTTCAAAATTGTATTTTTGAAGTTTTGTAAGAGGTGGTTTATTTTAGAGTTAGAACAAGTGGTATTTATCTTCTTCTTAATTTTATCTTTGCTTAGAATCCACTGTTTTCTGGATGTATCATTCTAAACAAAAATGTCTGCTCGTAAACAGATTTACACCATATGATTAGAACACAAATTAAAAATTTTGAAGGAAGTGGATAGAAGAATTACATCAAAATCATAAATCACCAAAAATATTGCAAATCCTGGAAAGCAATTACAATAATTAAAAATTATGATGTAATTCTGATTACAAGAGAACAAAGTGTACTTATTTCATGTCATTGGTCTTGTGAAATTTGTTTTTGAAAATTTAGAAAAAGCACTGAATGTTTTTTAAAAAATTATGTGTAATATTAAATGGCACCATTTGAAAAAAAATAAATGCGTTTTTTAGAAAGGTTTAAACTTTTAATGAATTATATAAATACTTGTTCATTCATGTAAAACGAAACTATGTTAATGTCAATTATTCCTTCAGCATTATAATTCCTTTTAATGTTTAACATGTTTTCTTCAAAATAAATCCAGTATTTACGAGTCATAGGTAAATATTTGCTCTAGTTTTGCATCTTCACGATATAGCGTTATCATGCAATAAAGTCCGTTTTTGTTTGGACAACAGGGGCTGTTATATTGAGGGTCCACTATAGCAATAAGAATAAATAGTAAAAAAAGAAAAATGATTAAAATAATTTAGATATTTTTCCTCAATAAACCGATAAGTTTGCACAAATATTAGAAATTTGCTGTTTGGAAAGAAATTAGTTAAGGGTTCATGCTTGATTTCTGAAAAAAAGTTCCTTGATTATCCAAAGCACCAATTCTCAGAATTAATGAATGCAATAACGTACAACATCAGTTTAGGAAACATGAGAATAATACTGGTGTACAAAAAATATCATTAAAACTTTCAAAGTTTGAAAATTTAAAAGTCACATACATCAATAAAAAATCAATAAAAAATCATTATCATTACTACAATCTCTTTAGTTGGGTTATAGAATATTATGGTATACCACATATTAATTAACACCTAAATTAAACACTAGGATTTAAATAATTCTTAAAATTATAAAGAATTTCATATTAATGACTTCACCAATACAGCACAAGAAGTCACAGCAATATGCAAACACACAACATTTCAGAAGAAACATAACAAAATTCCTTAAGTGATAACAAACAGGTGTCTTGAACATCGCAATTGATATGTATAAGAAAGTGCTTGCAGAAACATTTCTGTGGCCTCCCTTTGGAAATATTTCAATTTTGATAATCGAAACTTCATATTTTGATAATCTTAAATGATTTTGATAATCATCTGCACTAATATTTGAGCCATGTCCCTCATAACCATTATCCTGCTATACAGCCATATTTTAATATGCTTGCTGTTACCTAATAGTTAGCTTTCTGTAACCAAACAATAATATCAGTTAGATTTCAAAACCCTTTTGGAAGTAAGCATCTAAAAAAATCAAGTTATTGTTATATTTTTGTTCAAGTTACGATAAAAAAGTTTCTGTTATGATTTTTATTATGAAATTAATAAATAGTGTATAAAGACGTTTGATATTTTTTTAATCAATAGAGAGGTTACTTACAATGTTTAGTTACATTCATCAATACAACCACAGGAATATTTCCATGTTACATTCTTGAAACGCAACAGTTACATTTGGTGCTGTACATTACTATCATTATTTACCTACAACAAATTTCTTTTTACTAAACTTTTTATTTTCTCTAAGAACTACCTAATTCTTAGTTTAGTTTTATATCTTTTGAGTATTCTAGGTTCTAAAAGCCTTTCCCGAGTTGTATGAATCCTGTAAATGATATAAAACTAGAAGAATTTTTACACTTAAATGCAATAAATATTCCACAAAATAAAATAATGTATCAGTATCAGCCTTAGAAAGGATGTAGAATTTAATGGTACAAAAGCCAGAATTGGTTATATTACTATATTTAAAGCAGTAAAATTCAATGAGAGATTTAATCCCATTCTTTTATGAGGGACTCCATTAATAACAAAATTATTTAATAAGCATCATGATAAATTCAATAGTTCCATGACCTTAAAGAAAACAAATTAATTTCAGTAACACAGGATTTAAAGATGTTTTAAGTTGAAATGCAAAATAATCAATCAAACAATTTTTTCTTACATTTTGTAATGCTAAACTAAATCGTTTCATAACTATCTGATACATTTCTTTATACTTATAATCCTTTGCAAGAGTATCAGGTTGCTCTTCAACTTCAATAAACAGGTACCTGAAAATATTTAGATGCATTAGGCATTTTAATAGTGTATTTAATAATTATAATATATATCTATAAATTCAATGTATGTAAATTATGACAGTTTTCTATAAATTTAAAAAAGTAATCAAACAATAATATTTGACAAAATTAGATTTTATATTAGAAGAACAATTAAATTTGGATATTTACCAGTAAAAATTGTTTGCTAAAGTTTCATTGGCACAAGCTCGTTCAATTAAGAAAGTTGCTAGATCACTCTGAAATATATATGTACAATTTAATGATAGATATATTATTGATAAAATAAAATATGCATAACAATTTTTATATCAAACAAATAAGGATAGTTAAAACCNTTTTGTTTTGAAAATTTCATCATTTATTTGTATCAGTACAAGTCGTTTCTGCATTAAATTTCATTTGATTCTGATGATTCTTTCATGGTGTTGCATTTTCTACAAACAGCAGTTTAGATAATGGGTATTATTGATAAAATAAAATATGAATAACGATTTTTATATCAAACAAATAAGGACAGATAAAACCAAGAAAATTTAACATATTTTGTTAAATAAACTCTAACAATTATCTTAAGGAACAACAAATAAAAAAATGTAATAGAAAATATAATATTTTTTTTTCTACTGCTGTATATGCCATTTTTTAAAATTCAAATTGATTCAGTAAACATTTATAGTTGAAACAAATAGTTTAGAATTCTTATTTCAAAATGCAGATACCAGTTGTGAAAAGATGAACACTGAAAAAGTTAAACAAAAGTTTTGTCTTACACTTGCCCAACTTTGTACAGGTTTAAAAAAAATGGAATAAAGATGAAGATAAGAATCTATCACAGCACACTAAGCAAAGTTATGCATTACGCAAACAAAAAGAAGATATTTATTACCCTGAATAACTTTCATTCTAATGATTGGATTTTCACGTACTAAGTGTCGATCTTAATGGTTCCTGGGGTTGACCTCAAATATGCTAATTATTAAGTTAGAAAATTGGACACAAACACATACTTTCGTTGAATAAACATATATATATACATTTACATATTTGGATAACCTTCAAAATATAGGGGATAGCTGCAATCTGGGGAATATGGTTCCCATAGTTTGTTCAGAAGAGTGATTCAAAGTTTGGACCCCTTAATGTTCATTTCACCTTAGTGTTTTTAGTAATATTATTGAAACTAATTAAGCAATTAAAAAAATTACACCCACTCATAAAACATGCTTACACAATGACAATTTCATGCAATTTTTTTCCCATAGCTATTTATTATTTTTTATTATTTAATTTAATTGAAGGTGAAAAAATTTTGAATTATGAGGTGTATATTTTTTTAAACCATATTAATCTACATATCAATTGTTTTTTCTAGTAGAAGCCAAGAAAAATTAAAAATAATTATTTAAAAAAAATAATTTGAAGACAATGAAGAAATATATAAACGGGCGATTAATACCTAAATGCGTTTAACTTACGAGGAACTTGACTTACGCATAGTAGCATAAAATTCCATTCATATTTTTCTCGCTTATAGCTGTTTGCTAATCAACTGATAGCCAATGAATTTTTTATCATTAATAATACTGCTTTACATTTGGGTCTTGATCATTATTTTGATCAAGATTTTATGTTCCTAAAAGTAAACACTTGCATTTTAATATTTTAACAGGATTTATATGCTCCTTAAAAAAGTAAGAGAATTGTAGCATCAATATTGTAACTATGAAGTAATCTGTAACTTTAAAATTCTGAGACCAGATATTTTGAGTTAATGAATCTGAATATTTTATGTTTTAAGTTTTTGTGCCACCATTTCAGCATCTTAACATACGAACTCTGCTTAAAAGGCAAGTATCGTATCAGATATATATAAGAAAACAATGAAATCATAGTAGCGATATTTGGTGATAAATGTAGCTTATTGTAATTGAAGAACATTGTATTGTATTGTGTGACATTTTATAGTGAATTTGCAAAAATAAGTTTCAGAATGTATCGAAACATCAGGATGCTATTTGCAAATAATCTTAATCCAAAGAAAACCATGTAACCTACATATTTGGCAGAATGAAGCAATTTCTTAAACAATCAATCAAACAATATGAAACATATTATTTCAATATGTTATTCTTCTACACAACAATGTTTTTAAACTGTCACTTAACATTCAGCAATTCCTTCAGTTATAGAAAAAAGATTATAATTACTATAAAATCTAAATTTTTTTTTTTTTACTCTTTTGTTTTTTTTAAACTTTCTCGCCTAGAAGACTCAATGAAAGCTGTAAAAATTATTATCCCTACAATTTTGTATGTAGTTAAAATAAGCTATGCAAATTTGATTTTAGTGTGAAGACTCAATGAAAGCTGTAAAAATTATTATCCCTACAATTTTGTATGTAGTTAAAATAAGCTATGCAAATTTGATTTTAGTGTGAAATCCTTACATAAATGAAGTAAAAGCAACATAAAAAAGCCAAATAATTTCAGATAAAAAGTTCATGCATGCAAATTTTAAAAGCTTAGAAAATCCTAAACTCCAATTTTCTTTTAAAAGATTAAAAAGAAGAAAAAAAATCTTTGCTTTTTGGTCAGAAATCAGCTAAAAAATTGTCTGTTGTCAAGAAGCTTTGTGATATTTCCTATTAACTATAAATAAATAAACCTCTCCGAGCAATCAGAGAACATTATTTGAATTTTTTTTATTGCCTGTACTTGGTTACTTAGCAATGGAGTAAAATTAGGTATTCCTCTCTTGAATTAATTTATGGGTTGTTTGAAATTTTCATTTGTGAAGGAGACTTTGCTTGGCTGCTTTTTGGGACTATCATCAAATGTAGGGTCAAGAAATATATATATACATGTTATACATTGAGATTTTTTATAATAATAAATANGAATCCAAATATGTAAAAATATATATATATATATATATATATGTTTATTCAGAGAAAATGCAATTTTATGTCTGATTTCATAACTTAATTAGTAGTTAATACTAATTAATTAACATATTTGAAGAATCACCCAACATAACATTTCTATTTGGACAAATAGAGCTAGGTTACTAAAATAAAACTGTGAAATTCAGTGATTTTCATTATCAAATAATTTATTTACAAAAATGTTTTTTAACTAGAAAAAAAAAGCTTATGAAAAAATAATTTCCCACTGAAATCTTGTATAATTCAAAATTTTTTTTTCTCTCTTACTACAAATCATATTAAAATGTCACAAAACCTTTTTTTCTTCCTTTATCTACACTTTTTAAGATACATAGCACATAAATAGTTAAAAAAATTTTTTTTCCCCTCCCAATGCTCCATTTTATAGTAAATTTCTTAAAAGAAATCTTCGTTTGCTATACAAACTGCCAAACAAAAAGTCAATTAAATAAAATGCATTAAATTAAACAATATGAAATATAAATAAAAGAATTCTTACATCTATGTTTCCAAGGGCCGGAAAGCCACTTTCTAGAGATATTTGTTCAGACTGGTTGGTTGAAGTTGAATCGAGAGACGAAGCAGATTTTTCGGATTCATTACCAGTTGAAATAGTCCTTAAAAAAAAAAAAAATCAGAATTTTCACTTCAATTAAATTTTACTTTAAATAAAACCAAACATGATATTTAGATAAAAAATAGATATAAAACTGAACTCATTTATTGTGAGCTTAACTTAACTAGATTTGCTATTTAAAAAAAACAACATAAAACCTGTGTTATAAGCGCAATCTAGATTTAATGACGAATTTTTCATAAACTTTCTAAAATTATTTTATTGAAATTTATTTTACAGTTATTAGATTCAATTGTACATCAGTAATATAGTAAAAGTGAGGTTTCTTCATATGATTAGCCATGAATTACACAAAGAGTTGAAATCAGGAAGCTGTAGAGCAACGATTGTTCATTAGAAATCATGGCTATGTGTATTTAAAGATAAATAGATGAACTTTGTGAACTATTAAATAAATCCTGCATCTCTTTGCTGTTTCTGTTGTTGTACAGATATCTGTGAACATGGAACATTACGATTGAAATGGTAAGGCATGGAATTATCTGAAAATTGCAAACTTTTCTGAAATCAGTAGGTATTTTCGGTACAAACGTATTTTGAGTCAAGCAATATGGCTTAAAACTGCGGAAAAATTGAAATAAATTCAAGGTAAATATAAAGAAAATGAATAAAAGCAAAATGTAGGCCACTTTTAAGCATCCTCTAGTTCATTTTTGTACATTGTGGTTTTTATTTTTGATATTTTCAGCCAAATCAATAGTTTAATGAGCATACTGAGACAGTATGAGTATACAAACTTGTATACAAATGAGTTGGACTACACATATAATGTAAAGAATAACTGAATAAATATTTCTAATAAAACCTTTTAGGAAAGAATAACCTTAAAACAGTTAATTATTTTTTACTACCAATAATAAAGAACTGCTGTTAATAATAGATAGTGCTTAAAATAAAATTACAAAAATCATCTTTATCTTTGAAGTAGTAAAAATTGTCTTTTTAAATAGTTTTTTGCTATTATTTTTTATTTTGTCTAAAGATGTTGAGAACGTTTATTTTAAAATACTTTTGTAAGGGAAAAACAAAACTATATAAGTTTCAGTTCTGGTGAATAGATGAGGCAGTAAATATAAAATTTGCTATATGCTACGAAATTGCTTTATTACTTTATGTTTTCATGGCTTTATGTGTAAGAAGAGTTTAGTAGAGAAAGGTACTAAGTAAAATTCTGAAAGGACCAAAATTTTTTGTTTTGTTTTAGAAGCATATTTCAACTAATTTTATGTATAAAATAGTAATTTTTTTCCTCCAGACTTTCAAAACTCAATTGTGTTTTGGGAAGGATAGTTTTTAAATAGCTATTCTGCTATTGCAATATTTTAAAAAGGTGATTTATTTTAAGTTCATTNAAAGCCAATGGAATAATTTCTCACTGAAATCTTGTATTATTCAAATTTTTTTTTCTCTCTTACTACAAATCATATTAAAATGTCATATAACCTGTAACATAACATTCTTTTTATCCACACTTTTTAAGATACATAGCATAATAATAGTTAAAAAAAATTTTTTTCCTTCCCAATGCTCCAATTTTATAGTAAATTTCTTAAAAGAAATCTTCGTTTGCTATACAAACTGCCAAACAAAAAGTCAATTAAATAAGACGCATTAAATTAAACAATATGAAATATAAATAAAAGAATTCTTACATCTATGTTTCCAAGGGCCGGAAAGCCACTTTCTAGAGATATTTGTTCGGATTGGTTGGTTGAAGTTGAATCGAGAGACGAAGCAGATTTTTCTGATTCATTACCAGTTGAAATAGTCCTTTAAAAAAATAAAAAAAAGTCAGAATTTTCACTTTAATGAAGTCTTATTTTAAATAAAACCAAACATAATATTTAGATAAAAAATAGATTGCTATTTAAAGAAATTTTAAATAAATGGTTAGTTAAAAAAAAAACTACATAAAACCTGTGTTATAAGCACAATCTAGATTTAATAAGGAATTTTTCATAAGCTTTCTGAAATTATTTTATTGAAATTTATTTTACAGCTATTAGGCTCAATTGTACATCAGTAATATAGTAAAAGTGAGGTTTCTTCCTATGATTAGCCATGTATTACACAAAGAATTGAAATCAGGAAGCTGTAGAGCAACGATTGTTCATTAGAAATCATGTCCACGTGTATCTAACGATACTAACTATTAGATAGTACCTTTCGATACATAATAAACATTACTATTGAAAAGGTAAGGCATGGAATTATTTGAAAATTGCAAACTTTTCTGAAATCAGTAAGTATTTTCAGTACAAACAAATTTTGAGTCGAGCACATATGCTTAAAATTGAGGAAAAATTGAAATAAATTCAAGGTAAATATAAATAAAGAAAATGAATAAAAGTAAAATGTAGGCAACTTTTAAGCATCCACTAGTTCATTTTTGTACATTGTGGTTTTCATTTTTGATATTTTCAGCCAAACCAAGTTTAATTTAATGAGTATACTGCCTCAGTATGTACAAATGAGTATACAAACTTGTATACAAATGAGTTGGACTACACATATAATGTAAAAAATAACCGAATAAATATTTCTAATAAAACATTTTAAGAAAAAATAGCTTAAACAGAGTTAATTATTTTTTACTACCAATAATAAAGAATTGCTGTTAATAATAGTGCTTATAATAAAATTATAAAAATCATTTTTAGCTTTGTCTTTAAAATCTAAAAATTGTCTTTTTTAATAGTTTTTTGCTATTATTTTTTATTTTGTCTAAATATGTTGAGAACGTTCATTTTAAAACACTTTTGCAAGGGAAAAACAAAACTATATAAGTTTCAGTTTTGGTGAACAGATGAGGCAGTAAATATAAAATTTGCTATATGCTACGAAATTGCTTTATTACTTTATGTTTTCATGGCTTTATGTGTAAGAAGAGTTTAGTAGAGAAAGGTACTAAGTAAAATTCTGAAAGGACCAAAATTTTTTTGTTTGTTTTAGAAGCATATTTCAACTAATTTTATGTATAAAACAGTAATTTTTTCTCTCCAGACTTTCAAAACTCAACTGTGTTTTGGGAAGGATAGTTTTTAAATAGCTATTCTGCTATTGCAATATTTTAAAAAGGTGATTTATTTTAAGTTCATTAATATGCTAGTGAGAAACTTCTTCCTTTAAGTTCGTATGTTGAAAATTGTTTGTATGTATATATGTAAAAATTATAGATATATTATTTAACAACAAATATTATACAAGTGTAATTTTATTGGATTAAAATTTTAATTCAATCAACAGCTTGTTGCATAAATAAGTAGAATTAGAATAAAACAAAAGTATAATGCATAATTGTATACACAATAAATTAGAAAAAGAAAACATCTAACAATTGAGAAAAGGAACAGCTTGAGAGCATCATTTTATTTTGCTTTATAACCGACGTTGAACAGCTGACTCAATTCTTAGTTAATGACTATCAATGTTCAACTCTGCAGCCTTGCAATTTTGAACACAATCTAGAAGACAAGGGAACTCCTATATCAAGCAGTGGGAAAAGCTCGTCTTTGTGGAGGATTTTTTGATGGAACTAATCCACATTTGTGCTACATGGAGAGGAAAACCTCCCACAGTTAGTCTAAAGACAAGTGGGATTCCAACATATAATCAGTCTATTACTGAGGATGAAGTCGACGCTGATTTTGGTGTGAGCCTAGACTAGAATTCATATCAACCAGCTACCACTGAGGTTCAAACCAGGTTCACCTCATTGCGGGAGGTATGCATTATCCCTTGATGGCGGCTCTGGCAGGATAACTTTATTTTATTTCATTACCGTCCTTGAATAGCCAACCCAAATTTGAGTTTACAACTACCGATGTTCAGCTCTGTATCTTCGTAATTTTAAACCCAATTCAGAAGACAAGGGAAGTCCTGGATCAGCACTTCCAGAGGTACTGATTTGTTATGAGAAATTGGAGGACTTTGTGACCGACAAATTTAATGTGTACCAGTCACCATTTAATACACAGGGATTCTTTGGTCGGCTGGATTCAAACTTTCGTTCTTATGAACACAAGTCCAACGCCCTACCAACCAGGTCAGCCTGCATAAAACAAGAACTCCAGGAGAAAACAAAAACTATAAAAATTTAAAATATGTGCGTTAACAGGACAGCACTTCATCAGGGGACACACTGCTTGCCAACACGTAGGAGCCTTTTTGCTGTCAGTGGTGAAACCAAAAACTGATAGTGCCCCGAGGCCCCATGATGGAAAGTCAAAGAAGAAAAAGCAATTAGAAAAATTGAAATGTAAATGCAAAGATAAATAAATGACAAACAATCACAAAGAAAGTCTCAATAATGACTTAAAAGTACATAAAATAAAACATAAAAAACACCCACAAATAAGAAAAATAAATAAAAGTTAGTTAGAATAGCTACATCAAAATAAAATATAAATTGCCAAATCATTAAGAAAATTTTAGAAATAAATCAAGTGCTCCTTTTTTTGAAAATCCTGAAAAAATAATAAAACAGAAAAATATTTAATGAGTAAAAATTTTAAAAAGGTGCTGCCATCTGGAACATAAAATCCTAAATTTCACCGCATAGGCATATTTATGCCGGCTTCAATATCGGCCGAATTATTTGAAAGTATTTCAAATATTTTGAATCAAAACATCATAATTACAGTAATTAAAAGGAAAATTATTATTCTCTAATGTAATCTTGAAATTCCCAATAGCTGAAAGAAAATCTGTTTTATTATTACAAATAAATTTAAATCTACTAATTTGACCAATCAAAATATTCTTAAAAATCTTAAAGTAAAGGTTGGAAGGCCGAGATAGCCTGGTTGGTAGGGCCAGTGTTTACCAGTGTTTTGTGGAATTTAGTTGTAGAAAATAAGTAAGGATAATTAATGCTATTTATTTTCAAACCTATATTCTTGGAAAAAGCTAATATTCGATTATCATTTCCTTTTTTAGAATTATTAATTTTGACAAAAGTATTATTATTATCATATTCTTTGCTCATGAAATGCCTAAAATTGTTTTTGCTAATAAACCAAAAATTATTAGAAGCTTTGTCAACAACACAGATAATAAAATTTCCTGTTAATTCCTTAATTGATTTAATAATATCAGAATTCAAATAAAAACCTCGGTATTTTATATTATTGCTCAAAAAATTTAATTTAAAATCATTTAAAACACAAAATTTCCATTCACTAAATTCCTCGAGAGGCCAATTAAATTTTCTTGAGCATTTTGCAATAAACAATATGAATCCTTACTGATTGAAGTAAGAATACTATTTAAGTGATATTTTTTCCTTGGTCTAAACTTAGTCCCAAGTCCCGTGAGAAATTTTAAATCTTTATTTTTGATTAGGTTAGGGTCACCTGTGACAATGTGCGTAAAATCATTATTAACAAAATCTTTAAAATGCTCGAACTCACACAAACAAATATCCTCTAAATCATTTAAATTATAATGATTACTGTAACTTTTATCTTCATTTATTTTTCTTATTTGTGGGTGTTTCAAATGTCTTATTTTGTGTACTTTTAAGTCATTATTAAGATTTACTTTGTGATTGTTTGTCATTTATTTATTTTTGCATTTACATTTCAATTTTTCCAATTGCTTTTTCTTATTTGACTTTCCATTATGGGGCCTCGGGGCACTGTCAGTTTTTGGTTTCACCACTGACAACAGAAAGGCTCCTGTGTGTTGGCAGGCAATGTGTCCCCTGATGAAGTGCTCTCCTGTTAACACACATATCCTTTTTTGTTTTCTGCTGGAGTTGTTTTTCTGACTTTTTAAATATGACTTTTATTTACCATGATAAAGAGCTTCAATGTCTTGCCCAGGGCTGCTAAAATTCTAAGCAGGTAGTAGGACAAGTTTTTTGTTTTATCTTTGGTATATCTTTTAGTGTACATAAACTAAATGCTGATAATGTATGAAATGTTTGCTTAAAAATTTAGCTATTTTTTTCCTTTTGCTATATCCTTAAAATTTTTCAAAATTAATTATATGATTAAGTAATAGTTTATCCACAACTAAACTTCTCAAAACTATAGAAAAACCAAGTAAACTTTTCGAATTTCAAACTAAGTGTTTAAAATTAACTTAGGTTCAACAAAACATACGAAGAAAAAACTTTACTTGTTTTTACTCATTTCAGTGATACTGCAATAATGAGAAAGTAAGTTAGCAATCTTTTTACAACAATTTCCATCCTTTTTTTTTCTATTGCCCCTACAAGCATTTGAAATAAGATAATAGCATATATTTTCTTTTAAAGATGCAATATAATTAAGGAAAATGAAAGGATTTAAACTAATTATATACTGATTTCTATTTTAAACAAACAGTATAGGTCAAATATATTAACTAATATTAATATTAAATATCAGTTGGTACAGAAAGTCATTGGTAAACTAGAATATAAAATTATAAATGCATAGCTCTGTAAGAAAAATGCTTAACAAAATTAAAATTAACAGGAAAATTATATGAAAAATTTAAAAGATCTTTGATATCTTAAGTAACAATAAACTATGTATAACTTACTTAAACTTTTATTTTTATATAAAGAATGATAGGAGACAAACAGTTAAAAGCAAAAAACAAAGAAAATAATTGCATAAAAAAATTAAAACTTCCATTGCTGGTCAAAAATGTTTTTTCCTTTCAGTCAATACTTTATTTTTAGTCAATGAAATGATGATCACATTACATAAGTATTCAACATTATATCAAATATCAAAAAAAAAAAAAAAAAAAAAAAAAAAAAAAAAAAAAAAAAAANATAAATCTTACGAAAATAATCAAACTATAAACAATAATTAGAGATATTTAAGAACAAATCGCATATGTTGCTGCTTGCACTTGAGTGTTATAAATAATTGATGCCAATAATTTCTCTCTCTCGTTTTGAAATCTTAGTTATAACAAGACTAACAAAGTGAAATAAGAAAAAACAAGGAAACTGTAGTATGATGCTCTATTTTCTTCTGAAGATTTTAGTTAATATGGTGAATTCCACCAAACATAGTTTCTTTTAAATTTCAAATTTGTATCTTTTGACATGTTCTTTAAAAAAAGGTTTTACATTTTTCTTGTGAGATTACATAACAATTTAAAAATTTAACAATTTTTGTTAGTTAAAAATTTTTCTTAAATCAAAGATGAAAAATCTACAAACTTAATATTCATATTAGATCATTAATTTAAAATTTGAGGATACATAAAATGGATCATGGAACCTCATTAAATAAAAGTTTCATAATTAATCTTGGAACTTGTTTTATTTAACGTGCATACAATTTTGATTTTTCAAAGAATATTTCAAGCACTACTTTTAAATTTATGAAAATTCAAGAACTGCTATACTAAACATGAAAAACTGAATCCTATTATTAAATCGATACAAATTTTATTAAATTTAAGAGTTATTTTTCAAAAATTGAAAATAGGAGACACCATTTTGAAATGAAATAAATATTAAAAGCATTTTTAGACATTTATATTTTAATGAATGGAAAATTTTTACATTTCACAACTATCAATATTCAAAACTAGGAAATTAAAAAAATTTACCTCTGTCTATCTGAGGATTCACTAGTATAACTTCTTGTCCTGACAAAATATTTCTTTATTTCTTCAAAGTTTTCGTACTTTAAGGCTTGAACTAGTTGCAAAAGATACATTAAAAGATCCTGCAAAAAATAATAAATAGTCAACTATGTAAAAAAAGAAAAATTAATGGAGTAAGTTACATTTTTCAAATAAATTAATTTTACTTAATTAATCAAATTAATTTGATTTGGTAAAACTAATTGATAAGGGATTAACATCTACAATCAAATGAGTTTTAAATAAAAGTAATTAACTAGAAATAAAAACTTCATTAATATTTAAGGCATTAATCTATATGATAAGCTTTTAATTTTTTTATTGTTCCTTATTATTTTTTAAAATAAAGTATTTTATTAAAATGAAGGTATGTTGTTGAAGGCTAAATGTTGTTTTAAAGGCAGTCTTTGTTTAATCATTTAATAATGGTGTATTTTGTCAGTTTTTCTAACCATTTTTCTTAATTCTTTAAAACTTTTTCAATGCATGTCAGTTAATTTATTTTAAAAAAAATTAAAGTTAGCTATTAGTTAAAGTAACTATTTTTTTTCAAATTAAAGTTAAGTGATATTTTGACGTTACAAAAGTTGCACTTTTTAAAAATAATTTAACAATATTGCAATTAATCTTATTTTTACAGTTATTTTTACTTTCAGAATTCAGGCTTCAGTGAATAGTATTTTATTATGTAACACTTTATTATTTTAATTAAAACAATTTCAGGAATGTTATTGATATTAATAAAGCATTTTTTTTTAAAAAAATTAACACTTCCTGTTCTTAAAGATTTATTTCTTTATTAATTTCAAATCAATTTAAGATTTCTGATTGTGCGGTTTTCGTAAAAAAAAAAAAATTCTGAACGAATGTTATATCCATATGTCTAACAGAGGATATATCGTGGTATAAATTTCTTACATCATCCAGTTCCAATACTGATTCTAGAAAGAAAAAAAATTAAGAATAGTAAAAAAAGAATAAAAATGTGGAAGCACGCAGGCTTACTTCATCTGGAGCTTGCTTCAAACGTGTTACAGCATATTTTCTGATAATTGGGTGGGTAAACTGTGGTGAGAGTAATTCTAGTGCATCCTCAATATCCATGGCCTGCCAACGACCCAACAAATCCAAAGCTTGTTTTTCTTCACTTGATATTTTCCAATTGACACATTTCAAAAATTTAGTCAGGGCCTACAAAGTTAACCAACGACAATTATGATTGAACAAAAGCATAAAATGTTATGAAATGATCATTTTATAATTTCTAAAAAAATTTCATACATCCACAAGTTTCAGAAGGACTAAAGTTCATAAGAAAATACTTCTTTGAAAAAGCTTAATTAAATAAAAGTACATGTTAACATGATAAAATTTCAATTTATCCTCCAGAAACTCTTAGATTTTACATTAATTAAACCAAAAAGTTACACTTTTAATATGCAAGTATATCTTAGATTGGACCGAGTCTAACCGGGCAGGGGAAAAAACACGTAAAAGATACTAGGGTTTCAAAATCATAATAAATGTCCTTAAATAAAGAAAGAGAACCATGGTTATTTACTTTAATTTTTTACTCTTTTTTTTACAGAAAAAGGACTTTACTCTCAAAGATTAAACTCTTTCGGGGTAGAAAAAATGATATCAAACACAGAGCAAAACTTATGTTTGAACGATCAAATCCTTTTTACACAGAGAGGTTACGCTTTACATGTAAAGACATGTTTAAGACATGGAGACATCCTCTCTTGCATACTATTTAACATTGTTTAGTTCGCATACAAATGATATCAGTGCCTAAAGAAAATAACAGAAAATAATCATAAAAAAGTATCAAAACTATGGAGGAGAATATCAAAGTGTTTTGATCACTAATTTAATGAAGAAATTGAAACAGCAGACAGGAATTTCCATAAAATTTTCCCAGGGTCAATCATCTACTCAGCATACTTCATGTGCCTGTTTCGTTTGATCTGTTTAAAGCATAGAAACTATTTACTGACAGCAATTTAGTACGAAACGTGATATTGAAAAGGCGAAATTTTTTGGTGATAGATTAGCTGAGAAATTTGATTCAGTGCTAGTTTTCTAATTGATTTAGTTGAAAAAAGTAGCTATTCCTCACCTTGCTTTCATCAAAGCATCGGTCAAACTGATATAAGTCAGTTGTTAATATTTACACGTGTTACACAGGAAGTTTTTTCTCCCAAGAAAGAATCATTGGAAATGTGTACAATGACTGATGACACAAGACGAAAGGACATCTTCGAAGCAGTGAAAAAAGCAGTAAGCAAAATAGGTTTTAATAAATGTTCAGCAATTGTAATGGATGGTGCACCAGCGACACTAGCGGGAAAAACTGGATTACTTTGGGAAAATTGTACAATTTGATCGGCAATTCATTGTATTATTCATCAAGGAGCTTAATGTCGGAAGTCAGCGAAATAAAATCAAGTTTTTTAACTTGTGATAAAAGCTATCTATATAAGAGGTGGCAATCAAACCCCTGACTGTTTCTTATTTAGTTTGCAATTCAATAAATTTTGTTTTGTATAACTTGTTGAAAATTTAACAACAATTTTCCAAGTTCTCTCAGACAAAAGAGCTCCATATAGAATCGATTAAATTGCGGCCCCGGAAAGCATTAAGTTGGAAACGAATATGGCTTATTAAGTCCAAAATAATTTAGCATTTTTGAAATATCAGAAGCAATAAAAAATTGTTTATTAATATAATAATCTTACTTCTTCATTACAGCCAAGCCTGATAAAAATGAAAGCAAAATAATAAAATGAAATGTAGCTACCTTCTTTTGGTTAGTTAGGTAAAATCTGAACTTCCATACTAAATCTTGTTCTTCAGATGATAATGCTTTAGTGGGAGGATAATTCATAATAGCCTACAAAAGAGATACAAGCATTTTAGTAATTCATAATAGCCTAAAAAGAGATACAAGCATTTTAGTAATTCATAATAGCCTAAAAAGAGATACAAGCACTTTAGTATTTATTACAGAGTTCCCCAGATCTGGAAGAATTTTTTTTTAAGTGGTAGCAAAAATGAGATATATCTAGATGCCTTAAGCTATATGTATTAAAATTAAAGGAAATATATATGGGTGCAAAAAAATAACTATGGAATAATGTTGTAATCTACAAATGAAAGCATTTTTCAGAAATCTTGAAAAATCTCATCGACCACTTATTTGTTTTTTTCCAAGTTGTAGGAGCCCTGTCATTAATAATGCATAAAATGTATTAAGTCATGACTTAAACCTGATGATAATAAGTTATCTCAGCTAATATTTGTTTTATAGTTTTTCTAGGGATTTATAAAACTTTATTAGTAAAATAATGATAACAAATTAAATAGGCAATCAAAGATTAAAAATAAATAAATAAATAATGGCAACAAAATTAAAGTTGTACAAATAATTTTGTTTTCCCCTATTCAATGATTCAGAAAATATGTAAAACAATAAACTATAAAAAAGTGACAAAAATTATTTACCGTTAGTTGATCTCGTGTGATAGCATTTGGTTTTAAATCTCTATCACTTGGTCCACTTCTTATACTTCTTGCAAGTTTATGATGCTTAGCTTCAACTAGGTTTTGCTACATAAAATTATATACATATATACATAAGGAAGATTTATGTAAATAATTTTATTTAAAAAAGAACATTCAGCATTTCAAATTACAATTCTTAGTAAAATTGTTTATCTTTACTATGCTAATGAAGAAAAAAGAGAGCTAAAAAACTTTTTTTATTGTATTTCAAAATAAGTATGAAAATAGCAGCTGATCTGATTTCAATCAATAATTCAATTTAATTTTAAAACACAATAATTGACAACTAATTAGAAAAGGAATATGATTATTTTGATATTAATTATAGTTTATAATATAAAACTTATAAGGAAAAAGAATAGGAAATTATGGAAAGAGAAATTCAAAATTTATAATATTAGAGAGCTAATTAAGTCCATAATTTATTTTTTAAAGAAATCAAAATAATAATAAATCACAATTAAAAAAGTTGACAAACTTAAACAAATTTTAGAGATGACAGTTATTTTTTAGAAATTTGGTTTACCAAATGATACATCCATTATCAGATACGAGAGAAAAGAAAGCCAGATATTCTCTGAAATGGCGAAAGAGTAAAAAACAAACCAAGAACGTAGAAAAAAAGAAAGTTAAGAAAATGGAACAAAAAGATGGATAGAATATATAACTTAACTGAAAACGAGTCAAAATTGACTATTGTGCTTGTAACATCAACAGCATAATGTACGCAAGTACACATGTTAGATAATCAAATTGTGTAAAAACTAAGTCTGATATAAAAAAAGAGGATACTACTGGCCTGTCTCTGCATTGTGTGAAGGGGGAAAAAAGAAAGAGAAATAGGAAGAACAGAATAAAAAGAAAAGCAACACAGGAAAAATTGAAAGATAAAAAAAAGGGAAAAAAAAGGAAAGTAAACTCAAGAAGTAAAAGTAAAGAAGCTTTTGATAAGGTCTAAATATAAAACTCGAAACTGTAAATGGATCAAAAATTAATTTTAGAAAAATGTATATAAAAGAAAATTTTTCTTAACAAACAAGATATTTCAAAATTAATGGACTCTTGTATGCGCTATATTACGCTAACTATACTAGTTTTAATTGCTGGAAAAACTTAGAGAAAAAAAAGGAACAGTTGTACACACTTAAATAATGCTATAGTAAAGGAAATAGTTAAGTTAAGCTGGAAAATCATCCTTAAATGTCCCATAGATTACGCATTGAGTAGTCACCATTTTTTAAAAGACAAAAATAAGAAAGAAAATTCCCTGTATTTTCTCAGTCTGTAAAGAAAAAATAAAAATTCACTGCATTTCCCCTGTTATTTTATGTGATTTTTAAATTCCCTGTATTATCCAGGTTTTCCCCGTGGAGTGGCAACCCTGTCAAAGTTAAATTTAAGCATAATAGTATGTAAAATGCTCAAATATAAAATATCAATACATTCAAATATTAACATTCACATAGCAAGTTACAAAATCCCACAAAAATTATCAATTACTACAATACAACATTACATAAATTTTTATAAAGAATTCTTACAGCAGATATTTCAGGATCAGATACCATTACAATTCCAGCTTTGTTGACATGGCAAACATGTTCTCCGTCCTTAAACAGAAAATATTTGGGCAAAAAGATATTAGGACAGTAAAAAAAATAATAAATAATTTATTTACTATTAAAAGAAAACTTTCATGAGAAAATCTTATCACTAGACACAGTCTAATGCACTAATGTAGTAACTCATTAAATGTACGATAAAAACATGAAACATATTTTCAGTATTTCTCAGTTAGCTGAGTACCAGGCAAAATTTTGAGATTTAATCGACTGGTTAAATTGCATAGAGCAATTTAACCAGTTATGAATGTCTTGTTTGCAGATTTCATAGCTATAAAACTCAGTTCAAAAAAATAGAGCAGTTCTAATAATTTTTGTTAAAATATCTCTTAAAGTCACTTTACACACATTACATTTTCGATTTGTTATTTAAAAAATTAGTTCATACGTTAAATTTACTTTAATTTTGAGTAACTTTAAGAAATTTAAAACGCTTTTTTTAAAAAAATCTGGCTCTTATAGACGTAACATATTGCATTAAATTCACAAAAAAAATAAAAACAAACAAATAAATAAATATATAAAAAAAATAAAGACATGAGTAAATGGTGGAATTGTTCAAAAATATCCTGAGCAACAATGGTGGCAAGTTATATATTTTTCAATTTATTGCAATGACAAGAACTGGGAAATGACATTTCGGTAAATGCAGTTGAGAAGAGATGCATAAATATTTCCAATCAAAATAACAGTTCATCAGGGTCAAACAATCTGGTACCCAGCTAATGGAAAATGAGAAAATTTTTATAACTTAAAATAGCGGTGTATATAAAATATTAGTTCGCTAATAAAATCTGGTACATCATAATTCCTTTAACATTTAAGTTCAATATCCAAAATGTCTAAAAGCATTGTACCTGAGAACTAAAAAATAATAATTTAAACTATGCTTTGATCATTTGTAAAATGCATGTAAACATATTTGTTATGATTTCTACAGAAAAAAAAGAATGTTGTTCTGCTTTAAAGTTAAGAAAACAAAGTTTGCACAGCATGAGAATATACCTAAAATTTACTATGATTTGTTAAAAAAAGTATCAAATAAATTAATAGACAAATTCTGTTTTTTCAAACAATTATTTATAAAGAGCATTTTTAATTTAATTTACAAGTTTTATACGTGAAATTAAAGCATATTCATATATTGCTTACCTTAAACAACAAACACAAAGAGAAATTGAAAAACAAAGGTAAAACAATAAAAACAATACAGAAAAATGATGAAATGAACAATAAATTAGTAAAAATTTATAAAATTAATCAAGATACAAAGAGTGATAAANATAGCTATAAAACTCAGTTCAAAAAAATAGAGCAGTTCTAATAATTTTTGTTAAAATATCTCACTTTTGTTAAAATAAGTCACTTTACACACATTACATTTTCGATTTGTTATTTAAAAAATTAGTTCATACGTTAAATTTACTTTAATTTTGAGTAACTTTAAGAAATTTAAAACGCTTTTTTTAAAAAAATCTGGCTCTTATAGACGTAACATATTGCATTAAATTCACAAAAAAAATAAAAACAAACAAATAAATAAATATATAAAAAAAATAAAGACATGAGTAAATGGTGGAATTGTTCAAAAATATCCTGAGCAACAATGGTGGCAAGTTATATATTTTTCAATTTATTGCAATGACAAGAACTGGGAAATGACATTTCGGTAAATGCAGTTGAGAAGAGATGCATAAATATTTCCAATCAAAATAACAGTTCATCAGGGTCAAACAATCTGGTACCCAGCTAATGGAAAATGATAAAATTTTTATAACTTAAAATAGCGGTGTATATAAAATATTAGTTTGCTAATAAAATCTGGTACATCATAATTCATTTAACATTTAAGTTCAATATCCAAAATGTCTAAAAGCATTGTACCTGAGAGCTAAAAAATAATAATTTAACCTATGCTTTGATCATTTGTAAAATGCACGGAAAGATATTTGTTATGATTTCTACAGAAAAAAAGATATCTGTTCTGCTTAAAGTTAAGAACAAAGTTTGCACAGCAAGAGAATATACCTAAAATTTACTATGATTTGTTAAAAAAAGTATTAAATAAATTAATAGATAAATTCTGCTTTTTTTTAAATAATTATTTATAAAGAGCATTTTTAATTTAATTTATAGACAAGCTTTATAAGTGAAATTAAAGCATATTCATATATTGCTTACCTTAAACAACAAATACAAAGAGAAATGGAAAAACGAAGGTAAAACATTAAAAATAATAAAAACAATACAGAAAAATGATGAAATAAACAATAAATTAGTAAAAGTTTTCTAAAATTAATCAAGATACAAAAAGTGATAAAAATGTAATATTTCCGTTGAACTTCTATGAATGTCGACAAATTTTCATTTCTTTGTCTTATTGTAGACAGATGTAAGCTTTTAATTAATTACTTATGACATTAAAATAGAAAATGAAGAAACTGATACACAATTAATGTCTTCTAAAAATGAACAAAAAGTGAAAGTTTTAACTTTAATGCTCAAACTTGTATTAAGGAACTGAGACATTTTTATCAATTCAAAAATGATCAAATCAGTGTAAAAACTTTAAATGATTTAAAAATAATCCACAGTCACAGCCACTTAGAACAAACTTCGATGACATCTTTTTTTTTCAACTGGATAAATATAAAACAAAGATGTTTATCAAATCCCTTCATCTACTCTTTTTGTACCGTAAATAATATAATTTAGTTATGTTTAAATAAATAATGTAAATACATAGTTATAGATAATTTAATTATTTCTATATTGCAATTATTCTAACAAAAATTTATAATGTTGCCTTTGTTATTAGTTTATCCTTCCCATCATAATTTTTTTGGTCCCGAGAGCACCTGAGAAATCAAGATTTCAATATGTGTGTGTATGTATACATACATTAGTTGGTTCTTCCTGCATTAACATTTCTCTCATTGAACCAAGTCTTTCGACGAATAAATGTGACTATGAAATTGAGATCAATCTGCTAATAAATGAGTAATGATATTAAATTGGTACAAACCTCTTCAAAATATACAACAGTATATTCAACACCACCATTGTATATCCTAGGAAACTCAACCATTAGGAACATAAAATTTGAAGACCTTTTTTCCTTTTCATTTATCATTTCAATTTCCCTAAATGTCAGTCTGTCAAGCCAGTCAACTTTGATCATGTGACCATTTCTGTGCTTCTTAGTCAGCTAAAACATTTGACATCATTAAGATAAATAATTTTCATCAAAAAGAAAAAAGAAGGAATTTACAACAGAAAACTGAATCAAGCTTTGAATAGTACAGAATCCAACTACTGTTAACATATAATGAAAGTTGTCCGATTTGAAAGAAATCTAAAGGGGAATCTTGAGGAAAGAAATCTAAAATTTAATATAGCAAATCTAATAATTAAAAAATTGTTTGGTTATCAAATTTCTAGCAATGTTTTAAAATATAAAGTTAAGATTAAATAGAAAAATATAAGGGATTGATAATTTGTATTTAAAAACTAAATAGCTCGTAATTGGAAATGTGTAATTCAGTAATTTTTGCATTATCGTAATAATTTGCAAATTAACAAATCAAAAATAACACTCTCATTGACAACCATTATAAGTCTTTTTTTTTTATTTTTTTTTTAGTATTACCACTATATCTATCACCATTACAAAGCAATTCATAAAAAAGTGCTAAAAAAAGATAATAAATGATTCAACTCAAATCTTTTTCTTAAACGGAATGACATGTGTTCTAAAAGAAAGTAGTGTAAAATGCTACCACTACTAATAGTAACAGAAACTTTATAAAAACGCCTCATATTTCCAATAAAGTAAAATAAAAAGTCTTGTTTTAAGACTGATTAAAATAACCTTGCTACCTCAAGTAGGATGAAAGTTTTAAATTAGTAGCAAACAGGACAAAACCTTTGAGTCAATTGACATATGAAATATTAAAAGTAATTAACTTAATAAAATAAATTAACTTAATAACATAAAATAACTCAAACATTAAAATACACAACAATAATATTTTCACAACTAAATGTTCTTTTAGCATTTCTTAAAAGATTTGCAAAATTCCAGATTTTTGCCCTATAGCTTTTGTGTTACGAGAAACAGAAGTAATGCACAGTAAAATGATGATAGAATACACAGTGATGATGACAGAAACTATAAAAAATGCATATATAGAAACACAATAGCATTCTAAATGACTATTTTCATGGGCTTAACGTTAAAAACAGACACAACATGCTTCTCACCAGTCATGTGGTTTGTTCTCTTTTCATTGTAAAGAGGCAGTAAGGCAAAAGGGGAATATAACATTTATATTACATAAATATGAAACATTGTTAAAAGCAAATATACGTTAATGACATAGCATAATTTATAGTGGTTTTCAAAGTAATCAGCAACATCAAAATTGTGACTTTTTTTCAAAGTTTCAAAAGTTATAGCTTTTCTTAATATAACAAAAATGTAATCTATTTAAAAATCATATTGCAAATGCTAATTATATTTATGTAAAATCATACAAACTTTTTATAAAATTAATAGTGAAACAAATATAAAGCAGAGTATCTTTCATATTAAATGATCAATCACAAATTCATCTTTATTGCTTCGTTTTCATAAAAAAATGTATTAAAACTGACACTAGTCAGTAAACATAATAATGCTTACCTTTGACAATTTTGTCATTTGTTCTTTGGAGCAATCAGTTTTACCTGGAGTTTTAGTTCTCAGGTTTCCATCAGCTTGTACATTATTCCACAAGCGTAGGTCATGCATGCCTTGCCGAAGAGCTCTGAAATTATGTATTATGAAATAAAGAATCTACATAAATTCATATATAATTCATTTAGTTAGAAACTAGTACCATTTTATGAACGTTTCCAGTTTCATCAGTGTTCTCATAAAAAAATTTAAAAAAAAACAACAACTATGAAATAAATAAATAAATAAGGATTTGATTCAGTTGAAATAATCAGTATCTAGAGCTACACTAATGCTAGTGCATATGCTCCACTACCCTATCACTATTTTTTAGAGTGGAGAGTAGATGGTGGTAGGCCTCCTCATTACGCTCCCCAACAAGCATGAATTTTTATGGCATCGAAATCACCTGGAACATTAACTTTAAAGAGATTCTAAGTCACAAATCAGAAATGCAGTCTAATCAAATACCAATCCAACTCAGGGTATTAAACCCAGGTCGTTGGCTAAGACTAAGCCCATCACATTGACTTGGAGTCATACATATGTGGAAGGGAAAAACTTAGTAAAATTTAAGTACTAACAATGTATGATATTCAGGAATTCATAATATAAGAAATCCAAATGACTTAAAAATCCAACTATAATAAAGACAAGCACATGTAACAACAAAACGCAATGGAGCAATGTTGTAAAACAAAGCACAATGGAGATTACTATGGAATGAGGTTAAAAATATAATAATAAAAGAGTTACTCGGTCTGTACTTCAGTGTGTGTCTGGCACAAATTCGTAAAAATAGACTTAAAATTTCAATAAGTCTTTTTGAGAAGAGCTTATGAAAAAATGTTTTTCAAAGGATCAGGTGATTCCGTTTCTTCACTTATTTAAAAGATAAAATTAGTGATGTTTGCTAGCTTACAGCTCCCTTTAATCAGAAATAAGTTTCGCTGGCTTGAGTTTATTTTTGAGAAGTCAGGTAAGCTCAAGTGCATAGGTATGTAATTATTTTTTAAGCAACTTGATGTGGTAAGAATTACACAATACAAGATGCAATAAATTGCACAACTTTACCAGCAAGCTCAAATAAAGTAGAGTGATTTAACATAATTCTACAATGTTTTTAAAGAGAATTCTGAAAAATAATTGAATAATTTATGAGAGAAAACACCTAGATATCTTTTGATTAAAAAAAAAAAAAAGAAGACAAAAATAAGAGTTGAATTTCTGAATTTCAACACTCTATAAAAGATTATTATATTAGTTTCTTTGTACAACATGATGAGTAAAAAATGTTTAGATACACATAATTTACCCATATTTTCCAAAGACAGATATGGTTGCTCCTCCAATTGGTAAACTTTGGTTTGGTCCATATACATCCCACACCGTCAATGCAAGTAAGGCATTTCTTGGAAGTTCAGAAAATTTGACAGGTAATGACAGCCATTCATTCCAGCTATTAATTAAACAAATATGATTTTTAAACTTTGAATACAGAAATTTACTTATAATTTATTTATTACGCACACAACGGAGATTCTCAATCATTCCAACTAATATAGAATCTAATAAAGCTCATCTCTCACTTACTAGAAGAGCACGAAGTAGGCAAAGACTATTATTATTATTTATTTACCAGGAACACAAAGAAGATTCTTAATCATTCAAACAAACCTAAAATTGAATTAAGCTGGGTCCTCACTTACCAGAAGTGCAAGAACAGGGCAGAGACATATCAATTAAAGTAGGGGTGTACTACCTGCAGCCCGTGGACCATATATGGCAACGNAAAAAAAAACAGCGAAAGTACAAGTAAAAGTACTAAATTTAAAAATTAACGTACAAGTAAAAGTACGTACTTTTTACTTGTACCGGCGGTACAAGTAACGAAAGTAAAAGTACTGCCATATATGCCGTGGACCATATGTAGCCCAGCAACTCTATATGTTACCCGTGGCAACCACCAGAGCAAAATAAAAAATAAATCTAAAATTTGAAATTGCGCATGTAAGTTTTTTAAACACCCAATCGTAATCAGTGTAGATTCGCGATTGCTTCCCCCCACCGATGGTTATGGATACGGATTTACGTATAGTTTTGAAAATCCCAATATTTTTAATATCACATTATTTTAATACACGAATTTCGAATTATAGTTAAGACTCTTGACGGTCTTCGTGTGTGCTGATCACATTGTAAATCCAAAGACTTTTCGGTAGTTATTTTCTACCTATTTTCTCGTAGTTTCTAAAATCACTGATTGTTTTAAATATGTTTTAACATGTTGAAAGTTATGAAACGCTTTATTTGTGGAAACTTCATTGCAAATCTAAATGACTTTTGATATTTTTTCGGCAGTTATTTCTATGCACTTCCGTGCGGTTTTTAAAATTTTGATATTTTTACAAACTGCTCATTTAGATAACCATTTTCTGTCATGGTTTATTTGTGCCGGTTTAACCGAAAATCAAATTATTTTTCAATTGTTACCTTGGCAATTATTGATATGCATTTCTACAAGGTTTTGAAAGACACAGCATTTTTTATACACAACAGTGACACTTTAATTTTGAATCTTGCATTTAAATACATCACTTTTTCACACACTTTATTTATGCCGATTTCATCATAAATGCAAAAGGAATTTTTATAGTTTTTTCAGTTGCAATGCTTTTTCCTGTTAATTAAAAATTCCTGATATTTTTAATACTATAGTTTCACGGCACAAGAGTTTTGAATCGCACTTTAAAATAACTTTTTACATGCTCTATCTGGGCTGCTTTTAACATAAATATAAGAGGTTTTTCGATTTTTTTTTTTTGCAGTTTTGTTTGTGATTTTGAATATCCTGACATTTTAACACAATATGACAACTTATAAAATTCGATCACAATATGACAACTTATAAAATTCGATCCTGCTTTAAGTTTTTTTCAAACTTAAAAAGTAATTACACATCTTAGTTAAATCGCCACCAGCTTAGAGAGAATAACAAAAAGAGATGTGCAAATTTATATTAAATGTGGTCTCTTTAACAAAAAAATAATTCAACGCATGTGCATATTTCTTTAGTTCCATGAACGATTGCAAGTTTAACAACACATACCTAACCTATTGTCACATGATTTAAAAATCCCATATCGTGATTCGTATTTACATATTTAAAAAATCATACATTTTGATCTTCTTTGTAATTTAAAAGTTACACATCGTCGCAAGTCTTTTTAACATTAAAGAGCTTCAAAAATCATCCATCGCAATTCCCATTCAACAGACTTAAAATCACATATCGCGATTTGTACTCAGGGGGTTAAAAATCACATATCGCGATTTGTATTCAGGGTGGTTGAAAATCATATGTTGCTACTCTTCTTGCAATTCAAAAATAACATAACAATTCATATTCAAGCAATTTAAAAATCAGCAAAGGAAGAGCACCATCTTTGACTAATTCTCCAAACTGATTAAGTTAATTTTTTTCCTTAAGTTTAATAGTGCCCACCAGGGTTGGGTTTTTGACGTCAAAAAGTGGTTTTTGACATGACAAGGGTACAATACTGGTTTAAACCATCAAAAACCCGTCGAAAACGTCAAAAACTGAAGTTTGCCAAGAAAATATATAAACTTCAAAACTACCAACAGTTGCCATGCATTATATGGAAATTTAATTATACTATAGGTAATCAGCAGGTTTTAAAATATTTTTTAATTAAAATTAAGGTAAAATAACAGATTTAAAATCTCAGAAATTTATATTCAAATGCATGTGCAGAAAAATTTTGCACAAAAATTGTTTAAATATTTATATTT